CCCGCGCTTGGAGGCCGGCGCCCGCGATCCTCGGCGGGCAGGGCTAGAGCGCACTCACCTGTACTGGTCGTACTTGGCGTACACGGACCACTCGGCGGGGTCGCTCTCGTAGGCTTCCATGACGGCCTGCACCTCCTCCACGTTGACCTCCTCGCTGGCGAAGAGCTGGTGCAGGATGCGGATCAGATCGGTTAGCGTCCGTGGCTTCAGCACCTCGGTCTGCTCCATCCTTTGCAGAGCTGGCGGCACGCCTTTCTCACTGCGGGGCTTCAGCGAAGGAGCTGAGCGAGCCTAGGAACCGGGGACGAGGGACCCGAGCTGCCAGCCAGACAGCCACACACACACACACCCCAAACACTTGAGAGCCACAGCTAAAAGAATCCCTGGCCAAGAGACCAAGACACCCACACCGGGGCGGCGTGGACCTGGGATCTAGGAGGACGTGCGCCGTACACAATTCAGGACCGAATCCGCTGGCTTTAGCCTCCCCGGCCCTTTTTAAGCTCTCGGAGTCAGCGGGAATGTACCAATGGCCCTCGGAGGGTGGGGAGAGGCGGGTGCAACCTGAGGAAGGTGGTGGCGACGGCGAGAGCGTGCGGGCCAGGCTCACGCACTCAGCTTCCGCCCTCCCAGCCCTGCAGCCCTCCCGCGAGCCCTTCTCTCGCGAATCCCCGCACTCGCGGGGGGCTGCGCGCAATCCCTCCCCCACATTAACAGGCTCATTTTGGCCTCCCATCCCCACCCCTTTCCACACGCCCCTCCGCCGGTGTTCCCTGGGAGGTTACTTTTGGCCACCGGGGTTCCACACCCTGGGACGCAGACCACTGGGTTCGGGAGAGAACGGCGGGGGGTAGATGGTGAAGAAGGAAGGGGGCCCTACCCGTCAGAGAGAGCTGAGGAACTGTGAAGAGCTTGTGAAGGTTGAAGATGGATTCCACTTCCAAGATGGAGATCTGTTTTGATCGATTGAAACTATAGGTAATATGCTTTAGGCTAAGGTGAAAAGAAGTCGAAGTCTTCAATTAAAAAAACACCTTCTATTGAATTTATTGGCGTGACATTGGTGTTAGGTGTACAATTCTATAGTATATCATCTGTATATTGTATTGTGTACTCTACTGAAAGTACATTTTGACAAAGGAGACTCGGCTGTCCAGCTAGATTAGCAAGTAGAACGATAGAAGGCCAGGTATCCCTCTTTGATTTTAAAATCAAACATTACCTAAAAATTATTCAGTGGAAAGACCTGATATTTCAATTCATGGTGAAAGGAAATGCTGTGTGTGTGTGTGAGTGTGGTATTTTTTTTTCTCCCAATGCAGTATTTAAAGGGTTCTACTAGACTATTTAAATACATTATTTCTAGAAGCAGTCCTTGGAGAACAAGGCAAATTAAGTATGAATGAAAATAAGAAAAATGTGAGGGGCAGAAGAAATGCAAGTGTAGATTCCTTTTTTCTCATTAACGGACCCAGGGAATAACTTGCACTCAAGATTATTAAAGGTCTAAACTTCTGGAAGACTAGTCTTTTTTCTTCTTCTAGACTTTGCTTTAATGTATGTATATACAGGAGTGGGCAAAAGTAGGTTTACAGTTGTGAGTACACAGAAATTTATTCTTTTCTATTCATTGGCATTATAATGATTTATTACTTATGATGTATCATTTAGATAATGATGGCTGGTAATTTAACCTATTTTTGCCCACCCCTGTATGTATGAGTGTATATATTATGTACAAACGTACTTGTGTTAACAATGTTCTTCAGAAGTACAAATGACAGCTCAATCACCATTGTTCTGAAAGGACTTTGGGTAGAAAGCATGCCAGAAGACAACCTTTTGTGATGTGTTGCAATTAGAGGATCTAGTAACTTAATACTTTAGATCCAGAGAGGTAGTTTTACTGTACTCTGCATTGATCAGGGCAATGATTTACACATTCTAAGACAGTCATTGACATGGGGTGGGTATCCAAAGGAGGGAACCAGAATAGAGGTCTGTAAATATAAACCTATCTATCCATTTTTAAAATCATGCCCTACATGCCGGACACTGCTCATAAAACGAAGTCTCTGCCCTCACAGGGTTTATGTTCTAATAGGGGGGAGGGCACAGGTAGACACACCAAGAAATATTACATACAGTATACATGAAGTGGACACAAATACTGTATACTATTTACAATGGAAGAAAACTAAAGCAGGGGGAGGACAGTTGAGGGTGGTGGTATTTTAGAGGGCCTAGGGCAGTGGTCGGCAAACCGAGGCTTGTGAGCCACATGTGGCTCACAAGCCTCGGTTTGCCGACCACTGGCCTAGGGGAACACCTATCTATCTATCTATATATCTTTTTTTTTTTTAAAGATCTCACATTTATTACTGAATCAACCTTCTATTCTGGGAGGAAAAAATCAACAGAGCAAAATCACAAGTTCATTAATCTTCCAATTAAAATGCCCCAACTGTCCAGACAGTAGCATCTTTTCAATCATTTAAGGGTGTAGGCAACCTGGATACAGCATAAATATGTGAGTCATCTCTCATGTGTGATTTCTCATAGGCCCAGTTTGGTTCTTCTCCAATGTCTCTTCGAGTTGTATTTGATTTTATTACCAGTTTTCATCCGAATCCATTGGGGAATGGGCTGATTCTGCTTTTGTTTCTTGGCCAGGAACCTCTTGATCCTGAAAGTCTTGTGGGAAGACATGGTGAAGGAGAAGCGAAAGCGCGCACCTCGATGGCTGGCGGGGGGAGAGAGAGGAGAGAGAGAAGGAAGCGGAAGGACGCATTTAGTGGCACTGACAGGGTGGGGAGGGGAACACTCTTGATGATGATATTGGATCAGGGACTGAAAGATGTGAGACAAAGTTTTCCGAGGGAAGTTTCCAAGTAGAGGAAACAAGTGCAAAAGCCCTAGGATGGGAGCAAGCTTAGTTTTTGAATAACACAGATGAACATGGATATGCATGCCAGGGTTTGCAAGTGGGGACTCATCACAGAAGATCTTGCTAGGTCTTCAGCTTTTGCTGATATGGGAGGCCATCTCATCATGCAGACATTGTATCATCTCACATCATCACAAGAAGGGTGAGAACTGTATTTTGAGATACCATTCACATATTTCATTACATCATATTGTTATAATTGTTCTATTTTATTATTGTTAAATCTTACTGTATCTAATTTATATGTATGGGTATATCTATGCATGGGAAACTTTATTGTAAGTATGTATGTATAGGAAAAAACAATACCTATAGGGTACAGTTCTATCCAGGGTTTTAGGAATCTACTGGAGGTCAGGGGTAAGGTGGGGACTACTCTACACAAATTTCCTTTATTATTGTTTTTCAAAGTTAAATTATACTTTGAAAGCCACACTTAATTTCATTCACTTAATATATAATGAATTACTGATTAGGTATATGTAAGGCAAAGCACTAAGTATTATGTGTGTGGGTACCAAATAAAAAACCCAAAATCCTATTTTTAGGGACATTACAATCATGAAAGGGTATTGGACACAATATTTATAAGGTAGTATGCAGCAGTGCTGTAATAGTGGTAGTTCACTGTAACTGTTCTTACAAGACAGAACATCTCCCCCTTGACTGATTCAGACAAGCTTTAAGGAAGTGTTAAAATATAATTAGGCAGAGGCAGGATATGACAGGGGGAAGGTCAGTGCACTTCCATAACTGAATTATATGAGCAGATTTAACCAAGTTAACTGCCACGCATCAAAATGGAAACCATCCCCACATGCCATGATATTCTTAATTTAAAAAATCAATTTGCAATGATTATAAAAATATATTACTCACAATTTGGGTGTTCTTTAATATTTTCAGCTGAAAATTCTCATGAAAAAGGATTTTAAAGTTGGTCAGGGCTGCCACTTTGGGAAAACATTTTTTTATAGATGCGAGTGGCTTGTGGGGAAGGTCCAACGCTTGCGTCTACAGATGCTTATGGCATACAATGGGTTAAGAAACAGAAAAAACAAGCACATTCAGAGAATAGTGAGTAATCCAGTGTGGGTTGAATAATGATGTACAGAAATAGTACTTGTAGGACTAAACGTGCTGTACTGCTTTCTGAATACTTTTCCTCCCATTATGTGGTCTGTAGCTGACTTACTTGTTGCCAGAAGCTTACCCAGTATAATTCTTGAAAAATGAAGCTATATGAAAGGTGACTGTCATACCCCTTCCCTTGAACAATGCATTTCCCCACTTTGGGTTATACACAACTAAAATGCTATATAATCGAAGGCATAGTCTGCATTTTTCAGTTTTTTAACCTGCTTAGAGCAGATATTTAAGGTCCCTTCAGGGTTAAAACTTCTAGAAATTCAGATTCCAGGAAGTATCCAATCTTTTTTAAAAAATATATTTTTATTGATTTCAGAGAGGGAGAGGGAGTGAAACAGCAATGATGAGAGAGAATTATTGATCGGCTAACTCCCTGCACGCACCACACTGGGGATGGAGCCTGCAACCCGGGCATGTGCCCTGATCAGGAATCAAACTGAGACCTCCTGGTTCAACCACTAAGCCACACCAGCTGGTCAGGTATCCAATCTTATTTTGATTACAGATATTCTTAGCTTAATTTATACCCTAAATATGAGGAACTCATTATGAAGTTCTTGGTGTAGATACTTTCTAAGATGGAAGCACAATATTCTAATAATTACATGCCCTCTGTATGTTGTGGGTCATCTTTGCATAGTAAGATAAAGCATGACATTACTGACAATGATTTTCTCATGAACATAAAAAACAAAATATAACCCTCTCCCCCCGCCAAGTTTAATTAGTTAACAGTTTAAACCAGACATCTGCAAAAAGATTTGTGAATTGTGTATAAGGTGCCCATCACCCAGCAACTTAGGGGATCCAGGCTTACAAGTAAGTGTTGCAAAGTTAGCACAGAATTAATTATTTGGCTAAGGATTAAGAGATAATAGTGTAAAAGAGATAATAGTGTAAATATGGTTTGTAATAGTGTAAAACCCTGTACTATATCTTCAAGGTTATTAGGAAAAAAACCCCACAAGGTATATACATATTTAGCTAACCTTAGATTTAATTAATTAATAAGTTCTTTAGATCAAAAAGGAACAATTAAATTGATGTCACAAACTCAAACTCAAATAGCTTTGATTATTGAAGTAGTAAATATCCCATCACTTAAAACCTTAGTGGCAAATATTAAGTTAAACACATTTTTGCTATTTGTTAAATATACATGTATATAAATACATTCACATCCTTCAGTAACTATTAATGGAGGAAGCTACAGAACAGATCCACATCCAACCTATTTGACTTGAAAATGATAGTATACTTTCCAGCTTCCAACATATATATAAATTTCTTACCTAATCTTACAAGATAAATTTGCACAATTCAACCTGTACTATTCCAGTGCTAACTACTAGCTGTATTAATTTATTACACCAGAAGATTGGCATAAGGGGACTTAAG